TAGGTGTGTAGGATGGAATTGAAAGCCAGAGCTTCTCTGGAGTCAAAACTCACAAAGCCTGTGAAGGGTGATCAGAAGGGCTTCTGTAAGCACAGTAGTAGCAGCAGGGGAACTAAGGAAAATGTGGGCCTGCTGCACAGTGGGGCAGGAGCTTAGCAGCAAACAATGTGAGGTATGTGAGGCACAAATTACTGAGGTACCTGCTATCTTCATTACCTTGTGTTTGACTGGAAAGGTCTGCCCTGATCCAAGTGGTAATCTTAGGGAGTGAAGCATTACCTGTAATGAGTGGTGACTGAATTAAGGGACCATTTAAGCAAACTCAACATACAAGTCCATGTGACCAGACGAGATGCATCAGAGGGAGCTGACCAACTGATGGGGAGTTGGCCTTGCAATTGTGTCTTTCAAAGGTTGTGGCAGTTGAAGCTCCCAATGTCTGGAAGCAGGTCATTGTGGTATCCATATTTAGGATAGGCAGAAAGGAAGATCTTGGCTACAGGCTGGTCAGTGTAGTCTCACTCCCTGGGAAGACTATGGAGCAAATCTGCCTGTAAGCCACCTGCAGCCCCATGACAGTCAAGGTGCTTAGGAACAAACAGTATGGATTTACTGAGGGCAGACCGTGCCTTTGCAGCCTCATTGCCTTTTACAATGAGATGACCAGCTCTGTGGGGCTTCATTTTAGCAAAGCTTTCCATGTGGGCTGCCATAACCACATGATAGCAAAGCTTGTGGGATATGGTTTGGATATGTAGACTTAGGAAGTGGGTATTAAAATTGGCCAAACTGCTGATTGGTATCAAGACCAGTAATGGCTAATGCCTTCATTAATGACCTAGATAATGGAGCAAAATTAGCTCATATTTGTGATGACATCAGACTGTTGGGAACCATTGATACTCTGGAGGGTAGGTCTGCTGTTGAGGGACCTTCATAAGTTGGAGATACAGACAGAAGGAAACCTCATGGAAATTCACCAAGGGCAATAGCTAAGTTCTGCATGTATGTTGGAAATATCCCATGCAGCTGAACAAGCTGGAGACTGCTCATAGAAAAGCAGCTCGGAAGATGATGTCCTGTGATGCTGGTGGACCAAAAGTGGAATGTGAGTCAGCAGTGCTTTCTTGTGGTGGGAGGGCCCAGTGCCTCCTGGGCTATACTGGCAAGAGTTCAGCAGCTTGAGGGAAGTGATTCTTCTCTACCATTGGGCATTGTGAGACCAAAAATGTAGTACTGTGTCTAGTTTGGGGGTCCCTGGTATATGAATGACTCTGGCATATTGGAGCAAGTCTACTGAAGGGCTGCCAAGATGGGCAGCAGCCTGGAGCACCTGACCTAGAAGGTGAACCTTAGGGAACCTGCCTTACAAAGAGTGGGTCACTTTCAAATCCTATTGATCTCTTCTGCTGCCTGATGAGAGAGCGCAGAAAAGATGAAGCCTGCTTCTTTTTGTGAGTACAGGGATAGGATGAGAGGCAATGGACGCAAGCTGCAGCAAGGGCAACTCTGAATGTTAGAGGAGAAAAATGTTCACACTGAGGGTAGTCAAACCTGGCAAACAGGACCCAGGGAGATGGAGATTTCACAATCTGTTGTGGTTTGAGGTTTGGAGTGGGGGTGTGACCTTCCAGCACCTGGGAGGACCCCGGGTGGGGGTGAACCGTGTATTCCTTCCCCTTCCGGGACACACTCTGGGAAAGAGGCAGGAAGTGGGTGCTAGTCTCTGCTCCTGCCCTGCGGCTCCTGGTCCAGGCGTGCTTCGCTCCGTGGGACCTTTGGAACAATTCTGAGGGTTTTCTATATCTTGTTTTACTTTTGTATTTTCCCAATCTTTGTATGTATTTTTTCTTACCTCCTTTTTTGTTTTCTGTTCCCTGTTAAACAATATACTTTATTTTTCATTTAACTCTGAATTGGTTTTCAAAGTCTCTCTCTCTCTCTCTCGGGGGGGGAAGAGGGGAGCACATAGTTCTGTTCCGTGTGGGTCCTGCCCTGAACCCCTTTTTACACGGAACCAGGACACCATCGTTGGAGATTTTCAAAACACAAGAAGGTCCTAAGCAACCTGTTCTGAGTTAGCCCTACTTTAAATATGTGTTGGCAGAAGGTGTGGGAAGGGACTGCTGGATGACTTCCAGAGACCCCTTTGAATGGATTTTTTTTTTCTGTAGTTCAATCTCCCCTTTTATCTGCCAGCGTTTCACTTTCCTCTTCGAGCATTTGACTTGTGCTGCCTAACAGAATTAGCAAATATACACAGGACTTGCACGTAACTTCTACCAGAAGTCCTGGCTTATGATGGTGCTGTGAAGACTGGCTACTGGAGATCAGGGAACTGATGATAGAAGGAAATGCTCAAAAGAACGGGTAGGTGATTTGGGAGCAGATCTGTCAGGAAGAAGACAGAGCAAGGGGATCCAGGCAAGAAAGCAAAAAGAGGAGGCATAGCATTTTCCTGTACTAGAACTCTTACCTTATTCCCTCTATATTTTGCAGGCTTTGGACAAACTACTTTCTTGCTTTCATCTTATCTTCTTTTTCTCCTTTGTTGCTATAGGTGGTAGTAGTGCTTCTAAATATGTAAAAGTACTGGGATTTAAATTGTTTTGAGAAATAAAAAGTTGTTGTGCGATAAAGGATGGTGACAGTGCTTATCTGCAGACTTAAAAGCATTCAGAAATATTTCTGATCTGTTTTGGGGAAGGCAGAATTTGGTTTAGCCCTTCATATTTGTTTGAAGCTAAGGGAATATGCACCTTCAAAATTAAAACCTGAGAGGCTCAGCTCTGAAAAAAATGACAGATTTTTAAATTATCTTGTTGTGGCTTTAACTGCAGCAGTTTTTTGTTGTTTTATGGAAGTCATGTACAGAGCCTTTCCAGTATGGAGTGTTAGTCCAGCTGTGTTAAATAAAGTACTGTGTATTTGAACATAAAGCTTCATCTGCCTCTAAACATATTGTATTATTTCTTCACAGCTTGAAACTACGCTCTCTTCGGGTGAACGTTGGACAACTTCTGGCTACAATCATGCCTGATCTAGACTTGCAGCAAGTAAATTATGATATTGATGTAGTAGATGAAATTTTAGGACAAGTTGTAGAGCAAATGCATGAAATCAGTAGTACTTAAGGTATTACGGTTTTAGGAGACTCTTACGTGATCTTCCATTATAACCTTTGTGTAGGTTCAAAATTGTATATACTGCTTCTTCACTTTATATATTTGACATAGTTCAGTCAATAAATGTACATATTCTATGCATTTAGATGTTCCCACAGATGCAGTGGGTGTTACCTTCACTTCCTCTTAAAGGAACACTGTTGATACTGACCAACCGTCATGTACTTGATTAAGGATTTTGCTCTTAAAATGTATTTGTAATTAAATTTGCAAATATTTTTATTATTAGGAATCTTAATACTTTTCTACAAAAGCTTTTCGTTGACTTCCGCTCTTCTATAAGCATTAATACTTGTAATTATCTCCTCTTTTAAAATCTAAGTGGTGGAATATATTAAAAATGCAAAAAAGGAACTTCCTTGATTTCCTTTTCAGAATAAACCTTAGTAGTGTTGTTCATGCTACAGTATTGTTTCATTGCTGTCAGCAATGTTGTATGTTGCATTTAAGGGATAGAATTGTAATTAATAGATTAAGACTTTGGCCGTATGGGTAATACTTGTTCTGCTACCAAAAGAAGAAAAATTCTTTAAGGAATTGATGACAACTTTGACTCCCTTTTGGATTTTTTTATGTCCCTGAAGAACATTATCTGCACCTGGCTATGCAGCATGAACAACTCCATGGGACAGTGCTAGGATATTTCAGCCTTTTCAGTGACGGAAACCACATGCCTGTCTCCTGCCCTTGCCACTTCACTGTTGTTTCCTCCGCCCGAGGCCCTGCCTGTGTTTGAGCCCGGCCAGCGGGGTCTCCAGCTCTGCCCTGTAGGCGTTTGAGGCAGCGGAGCTGGTTCCGAAGTGCAGGTGCGTACCGGCACACGGCCTCCGTGTGCAGGGCTCTGCCCTGCTCTTTCCCAAGCCAGAGGCATCTGCCGGCAGAACGGGAGCAGCCCAGCGGGCCACTGGTGAGAACGAGCTGGGCTGGCTCCTTCAAAGCTAGGTAGGATTCCTGGGCAACCTGCGTCCCACATCAGACGCCACCTCCTGAGACCTGAAGGCCTTTTTTCAGGGAAGCTCAGCACTGAGCTGGAGTGACGTAGAGGTTCTGTGATGTATACAAGTGCTTATATGTATTATCTCAAAAAACATGTCATTGCAGTATTAAACATAGAGTCTGCCTTGGAGTCCTTCAGGCTGAGATGCAAGGGTGCTGACACTTGTCTCTGAAATTTACCTTCCTATCAGAATGTCCCATGCTGAGTATGAATGAGTCAGACTAAATCCTTGATTAACTAGTTGAGTGAAAGTACTTTGAAAAGGAGGCATGTTTCCTTACCTGTAGTGGTAGCTCACTACTACAGAGTGAGCTAAAGCTGAAAATGTTCAAATATTGTTTATATTGTTAGCTTAAAGTTTAGACATCTTTTACTATAGGCAAGTTAGGGGAATCCTTCTTCCCAGCCTCCTCCTTTTGATTTTTGTGTTTTGTAGTGACTCTTAAGCCACTAGTTCTGTGTTCTGATGCTCACGCAAAAACCTCCTGGAAGAAATGGTACCTAAAGAAATCACAGTTAGAATGGCAACAATATTCTTAGCCAATTGCATGTCTTTTTGTTTGAAGTTGTCCGTAACAAGAGGAGAGGTGGTTAAGATGGCAGATCCACTTTTACTCTCTGGTGGTATTTGTCATCCAAATTTTGTAATCCAGTGATTACAAAAAATGGTTCTTGCTTTTAAAAAATTCTAAAATTAAAAAAAAAAAAAAATCATGGAATAACATTCAGTGTGTTCATTCCTAGGAAGTGTCTTTTTTACAAAGCAAACATTTTTTGGCTTTTGCACTGCTACTGTCCTGATTTAATTGCATTATGTTCCTTTTGTAGTTCAGTCAGTTTCTTTTGGTGGACAGTATTTCAATTTTAAGATCCTATCTATTCTAATATGCCAATAAAAGTAATGCAATACTGTTGTACTTTATAATGGATAATTTGAATGTTTGATTTTTTTTGAAGAGGTGGCTGTAATATAAGTGTATGACTTTTGAAAAGTTTATATTTTCCATTTATTGGTGTAGTTTTCAATTTCTTAATCGTTATTTATTATGTTTCATCTGACTGTAGCTAAATTTCTTATAAACAGCGGGCAAAATATAGCATATGTCTATATTAAAAATGACAAATTTACCCTGTACATTTACACTTTGGAGAGCAGTGGGCTAATGGAAATGGTTTTTATTGTTAAAATGTATTTTTTGTAAAAAATAAACAGTATAAATCGGAGTTTGCTGGATCAAAACTTGTACGTGATCAAATGCAATGGTTTTGTTTATAAATAAATACTATGCAGAATATTAATATTTCTGGCTTGTTTTAAGTATTTTCTGCCTGTTGGAAAAGGACCCGGGGGTGCTGGTGGACAGACGACTGAACGTGAGCCAGCAGTGTGCCCAGGTGGCCAAGAAGGCCAACGGCATCTTGGCCTCTGTCAGGAATGGTGTGACCAGCAGGAGTAGGGAGGTGATTGTGCCCCTGGACTCGGCACTGGTGAGGCCACACCTTGAGTACTGTGTCCAGTTTTGGGCACCACAGTATAGGAAGGACATTTTGGTGCTGGAGCGGGTCCAGAGAGGGGCAATGAGGCTGGTGAGAGGGCTGGAAAACATGCCTTATGGGGGGCGGCTGAGGGAACTGGTGTTGTTTAGTCTAGAGAGGAGGAGACTGAGAGGAGACCTCATTGCTCTCTACAGCTACATAAAAGGAGGTTGTAGTGAGGCTGGTGTTGGTCTCTTCTCCCAAATTACTGATGATAGGAGAAGAGGAAATGGCCTCAAGTTGCACTAGAAGAAGTGCTAATTGGATATTAGGAAGAATTTCTTCCCTGAGAGAGTGTTTCAGCACTGGAACGGGCTGCCCAGGGCGGTGGTGGAGTCATCATCCCTGGAGGCGTTCAAAAACCAAGTAGATGTAGCACTTGAGGCTATGGTCTAGTGGTTAGGGAAATGTTGGGAGGAAGGTGGGACCTGGTTATCCTGGAGGTCCTTCCCAACCATTGTGATTCTATGATTTTCTGATTCTATGATTTGGTCTTACAAGAAAGCTGGCTCAGTCTGCTTTTGAGCAGAGGACTTGGGCACACCAAACATGCCCTCAGGCCAGGTAGGCATCCTAACTGAGCCCTAAACCAGCTGTCTGACTCTGCTTCTTCAGGTGGTCCTTTTTGTACGGGGAATTCTGTTACCCAGTTACCAACTGTTACTATCATAGGATTTTATTGGCACAAAACTGTTTCTCAGGGCCTTGTTAGAGAACTGTTGTCTTTGTGGTACTAAGTCAGCAGTGACAGGAACACAAACGTAAGAGAGTCAGGGAGGTGGGACCACCTCTTCAGGTGACAGTAAGCTCTTGGATCAGATCAGCTCTCCTTGTAAAAGTTTACCCTTAGGGTTAGTTAATGGATTCCATAGCATGAGAAGCTCAAGCTCTTTCGTATTCTTGGGTTGCTTTTTTTGTGGCTGAGGCATGAGACTGTTTTCCTCTGACCAGTCCTTGATCATCTAGCACAGATGATGGATAAAGAGTTGTCAGGATGCGAGGTGGTGGTGTGGAAAGGATTGCACCTGGTGTGGAAATGTTTTGGATCTGGAAAAAGCAGTGCTGTTATAATCCAGGGTGTGTGTTTGCTGAACTCCAAGGGAGTTCCTGGGTTTAACATATGGGCACGTTTTGTTTTCTGCTGTGCCAGTGCAATTTCAAATGGAGCACAAGGACTTGCACTGCCCTGGTTTTCTAAGCTTAGTCATACTGGCATGGAAATCTTCACTCCCCTCCCGTCAGAACACCTCTTTCTTTAGATTAAGGTTTTGTTTAATCTGTATGCAATAAATCTTCAGTTCTCTTCTGCTCTCTCACCTGCTGTTGGACAGTGTAGTAACTGGTGAGGTCTGCAGAGTGCAGGTGTTGGCCTTAACCACAGGGCCAGTGCTGCTTCTGCCTGCTGGCGTTGGCAAGGTGGCAAGGAGCAGCACAGCCCTTGGTGGTGTGGGAAGAAGGGCAAGTACATGCCAGTTACAAAGGGTGTCATTTTGGTACTAGTTCAATGGAAAGGTTTGCATGTGAAAGGGAAATTTTGGGGATTGGTTGCCCTTTGATGACTTTAAATGTAAAAATACCTCCACTAAATCAATGTTGAGTTTTTTGTTTGGTTGGTTTTGGGGTTTTTGGGGGGTTTTTTTGGGGTTTTTTTTGAGGTGTTTGATTGTGTGTGAAAAATCCTGTTATCAGAGGTTGGTGTTCACAAAAGAGACAGAGGAGTCCTGTAAAAATATACTTTATTTGAATAAAGGGAGAGTCCACTGGCATGTCCCAGTGGGGTCTCTCAAAGTTTCTGGGGGTCACAGCCCCCTTTTTACTCTCATTTCCCGGCCGCATATGTCCCTTCTCCTTTCCCCACTGGCGGAGGTGCTAGGAGAGTACAGACTTCCCGGTCCGCATATTCCCCTGGGAGGAGACGTGACTATGTATAAATCTATTCAGCATGGGTACTGGTTCCTAAAGTTTCAAAGTTTAGGCCCTCCAAACTTCTCCAGGTGGGTAGCTGGTTTTACTCAGTTTCAGTCAAGTTTTCATGTTCTTCCTATCTCCTGATTGGTTCTTTCTGATAAGTTCCCAGACTCTTCTCTCATGTTTGTCTCTTTTATATGCAAAGTGAGCAACTTACCACTGTGGGACACCAGGAACTGCAAACACATACGTTCCTTCCTCTCCACCCTACAAACTGTCCCCCTTATCACATGGAGAGGTATTGAAACATCCCTTATTGTAAAGACACGTTCCTTTCTATTCTATGAAGAATCGGCCTTTTTTAGTTTTTGGGTTGCTTTGTGGTTTTTTTCACTGGCAGCAGGCTTGGGGCAGGGCAAATACATCCGAAGCGGAAGAAAACGCAGGCGAATATCCTACCCAAACCAGCACCTCTCCGCTTCCCCAGCGGCCCCAGCCCCACCGGCAGCTTTTTGCTTTCCCAGTGGACAGCGCGGCGGGGGC